CAGTGGGGGCGTGGCTGGCCGCGGTTGCATGCGCTGATGCGCCCGTGGAACGGTCGGCAGCGACCCCTGGCGGTCGCGCCCGCCGCGCGATGCCGAGGTGGTAGCGCCGGGCAGCGCAAAACCACGAGAACCGAGTGCGGAAGGAATTGAGAGGCACGAGATAACGCGCTGCGAACCACTACCCGGCGCGAGAGCAGCGCGCAGGCGAAGGCCAGGGACGCGGCGCGCGGGAAGGCTGGCCGGCGGGGCGCCGCCGTCCAGCTGATCAGTTCTGATTTCGTTCAGGCAGGAGAGGAGGGCGATCCAGTCAACTTCGAGACCGCGGTCGGGAACGACCCTTCCGCGGGCAGCGCGTGGAGCGCAGCCGTCATCATGGGGGGTCGCGACGACTCCTGCACGACAGCCTCGGCGGCGTCGTGGCCGGCTGAACTGAGGCATTCACGAGTCGGACTTCAGTCGCGGGGAACATCCGAGTTCTCGCCCATCATATCGGCGAGGGGTGGGGGGGGGGGGCGCGACTCCCAGGCCGACGGACGGGCAGTGAGAGCCATCTAGATTGCGAGGACGCAGGTGTGGACCCTCATTTTGGCGGCGTCGAAGAAGACGGGGGGCCATCTCTTCGCGTCGGACACCCCGTCCCTCGCGCATTTCCCCCGCCGCGCAGCATGGCTATATACCAGGCGCGCGGCAAGGGCGGGCGCCGAGCTGATGTCCTGCGAGAAGGCGCGCGTGCTGAAGGGCCAGAAACCGATCGCGGCAGTCGGCGAGGCGGTGCTCTGCGGGCGGCTGGGGCCCCGGTCAACAAATTGGAGCTCTCGTGACTGGAGGGCATCTGGCCGGGCAGAAAGTGGCCAGGCGTTGACGAGCGCATCGTCGGAGCGCCGAGGCGGGTCGCCAGGTCCAGGGCCATCGCGCGGAAGCTGGAGAGTAGTCGCCGGGGCCCGGCCTCGCTCGACAAGATGGCCCGGGCGTCTTGGGGGGCGACCCCGGCGTCGAGGGGGAGGCCGCCAGACCAGAGATCGACCCGGGAACTGATCATCACGGGGCCCCTCCAGGATTGCGGGGGCTCCGCTGCCGGCCCCGCCGGCCGAGGCGGCGGGGGCAGCGGCGCCGGCGGGGGGCGGCGGCGGGGGGCAGCGGGCGGAGAACCCACCGGGGGGAGGGGCCCTGCCAGGAGGAGGAAGCCCGCCAGGAGGTGGGGCCACAGTGCAGGAAGGGCTCCAACAGCAACGCGCGCTCCCGGACCCGCGGCGTCAGCGCCAGGGGGCCCCGCGTCATTCGACGACGCGGACGTCGATAGGGCCGGACTGCAAGTTGGGCGCGCGGCAGGCGAATGTCGCCTACGCGGGCGTGCATCCTGCGCCGCCAGCTCCCGGAGGCGATCTGGGACTCGCGGGGCGCTCTCGGCGAGGCGCTTGGCGCCGCCGGCGCTGCCTGCGGCGGGGGCGGCGCCGGCAGCTGGGAAAGCGGTGCCCATGCGGGGGCGAGACGGAGACGAGTGAGGCGACCAGGCCAGGGGCAAGTCACGGATCGCCCCGATTTGCACGGTCAGCGAAATGCGCGAGGAGCTGAAGGCGGAGGGCGATTAGGTCCACGCGAACGGAGGTGATTTCCACGAGGAGAGGGTGGCGCATCTCGAGAAGACCACGGTCGATGGCAAATCGTATCGCGAAACGGATTCCGTCCGTTGAGACGACTTCCACGACCTTAACAGGCAAGTGGGTCGACGCCTATGCGGCGGGCGGCAGCGCGGAGAGTCGGCGGGCCGCGCGGGGATTCGAGCGGCAGACCTACGGTCGCGATAACGTCTCGGCTACCACTGCCTCACTACCACGCCTGACGGCGACGTCGTCCACCGCGGAGGTGAACGGAAACTTGGTGGCATTCGGCGGCAGCAGCAGCGCTCTTCGAGGCGCCTTTGACGGGGGGGGGGGTTCTTGGAATTGCCGCCCGACGCAGTATGCGCCGGACGCGCTGCGCGCTCTCCCGGGATTCACGGGGGCGCTAAGGCGTGGGGGGGTCGCGGCGCAGAGGCGACGGGGCAGCGGGTCTTGATCAAGGGCGCCACGGCGGCTGCATTTTCACGTGGGCCCACGACGAGGCCGCGGCAGGGCGACGCGCTGATGCATTTTTCGCGGCAGGGCCCCGGGGGTCGGCAGACCAACTGCCGGCGGACGCGGGCGAGAAGCTTAGGGTGTCGGGCGCGGTGAAGCAGCGCAGCGCAGACGACGAAGGCACCTGCCTAAGCATGCTGGCACGCAAGGTGGAGGGCGACTTTACCATCGAGTGCAAGACGTCGCTGATCGAGGACGCGCCACTGGAGCTCGAGTTGCAGACGGCGAAGCCCGCAGTCGTCCAGGAGACGAAGAACAATATTAATCGGAAGGGCGACGACGAGTTCCTGCATGCAGCAGGCCACGGCGCGCACTGCATGCGCGCGGGGAAGTCACTACCCCAGACACTTGGTTGACATGCAGCACGGAGTTGGAGTTTTTGGCCGCGTCATGGCGGCTCCATCTGAGAGACCAGTGTGGATCGAAGCAGGCGGCAAGGTGCCTGGCGGGAAACAAGGACGTGGAGTCATACAAACAAACAAGCAGATCGCACAGCGCCGCGCGGACGCAGATTGGGCAGATAACGAGGACGCAGGATCTCAGTCATCGGCGGCGTGCTGAAAGAATGCGGGCTCGCCGCGCGGTCGTGGGCGCGTCGCCAGGGCGGCGCGGCCCGGAGCGCAGATGAAAGCGAGCTGCGCGGCGGAGGCGTTCGGACTGGCATCGCTGATAAGCGCGCGGCGCGGCACGAGAGCGCGACGCCTGTCTTGGCAAGCGACAGCAGCAGCGCACTGCACATCGTGAAATAAGGAGGGCCAGGTAAGATGAAGCACGTCGAGATCAGGTTCTTGGCCGCGAGGCAGCGGCGCGAGCAGGACTGCCTGGAGCTCAAAAAGATCCAAGCGGAAGACAAAGAAGCATACTTGCTGACGAAGCCGATGACCCAGGAGAAACTCGTGAAGTCCTGCCGCAGCCTAGGCTTAGTTGGTGGGCCGCTCCGCCCATGTAGCGATGACGAACTGGCTAAGGCTTCTCGGGCAGTCCGTAGCAGCAAGGGAGTCTTGACAAGCCAGGAGAGCTGCTAGGAATCACCAGTCCTGATGGGCGTTGACAACAACAATCACAAGACTGACGTTATGTCCAATGCGACTTGCACTAAAGAGTTGTCCAAATATTCCCTCGCGGGCCTACAGGCCTGGTGGAGTCGAGGGCGCGCCCGGGTAGGGTGTGGCATGCAGGAGGGGAGCGGCATGCAACACAGAGGCAAGTAAGATACTGAGACCGGTGCGGTATAGACTTAGACCTTCATTGTGGAACCGAGTGCGCGCTCCGCAGCCTCTTTGGCGAGAGAGGCAGCATGCTCCCGGGACCCTGGGGGGGGGGAGTGTGATAATCATAGCTGAGAGCCAACGACTTTATTCACCAACACCTTCGCTCAAGGTGCACGCGAAGTTCGCCGGATGGTGTCCGTGTAGATATTTGCATGGCGTGTGTGGAGGTCTTCTCTACTTCGCCCCACCCCCGTTCCACTCGGTTCGGTCGGGGCTCCTGTTTTGGACAGCCTCCCTCCTTCCCCGCGTGTGCGCGCGCCCGGGTACCAACGACGAACCCCCTTCCTACTCAGAAGTTTTTTTGCCGATTGTCAAGTGAGCGACTCAAGCGACGCGAAGATCGGGACAAAATCGGATCGGGATAATTCGAAATCTCTGACAATCGGCGGGTTTGGAGGATGTATTGGGCGCCGCGGCCGCTCCAGAGCGTTCCGGAACGCTCTGAGAGCGCTCCGGAACGCCCTGGAGCGACTTATCCCGATCCTAGCCCTGTTTTCGCGACGAAGAGAGAACGGCGTCGTTTGCGCCGGCATTCGTTCGCAGATTTCCCGCGCAAGGCCGCGCGTGGGCGCCCTCGTTTCCAGCGTGGCGTGCCGTGCTGGCCCCGCGTGAGCCGCCGCGTCAGGCCGTTACGTCACATCGCGTAGCGCTCCGTTTTTCGTCGCCCGTGTCTTCGGTCAGTTTGCGAAGTCGGCATCGGGGCCCCGTTTTCGTTCGGGCGCCCACCTCCCCTGCCTTTTCCGCGTGTGCGCGCGCCTTGGCCCTCCCACTGCGCGCGGGGGCGCGTCCGGGTGCGGCGTCCAGCGGGCAGCGCTTCGGGGGGGGAAAAATGCCTGCAAGAGACGGCGGCCCTCTGCGCAGACGCCGGGCGACTCGGGAGAGCTCGCGCGTCGGGTGTTGCGTGAGGGAGGGCGGCGATGTCATTTCGGTTATTCCAAGTCGATTCGATTAGAGTCCGATTTGATCTCAGATTGCAAATCGGATTTCGGCTTCTCAACCGAAGCCTTACCTTATTTCCGATTTCCGCAGTTTCGAGGTTCCGGACTTGGCTGAATATTTCCGCCGATTCTATTCATGTCGATCGCTGATCCGACGTTTCGCTTCGAGGCATTTATGAAAAAAAGGCCTCGCCATTGAGGATCGAAGGAGGTGATGTCTCTTCCTCGGCGGAAGGCGGCGTCAGTAGAAATTCAGCCTCCCAACAGATGGCACAACAGGTAGAGCGATTTGCCGTGGTCAGGGGCAAATCGCCCACTCATCGCCGAGAGGGGCCCGATGGCCCACCCCGCCCAGGAACGCCCGGATTCGCGATCGGGGGCCTATCGGCGATGCATCGCCGAATCCAATCCGACGAAGGCATCTATACACCACCACCGTGCCAGGCCAGGGCCATCCTGGGTTCCAGGATGGTGTGTAGACCCTCCTGGCCTCGGCCAGGATGGCGTATACACCATGCCAGGGCCAAGATGGCCCTGGCCTGGCACGGTGGTGGTGTATAGATGCCTTCTGTGCATCCAAGTCGATGTGTCCCTCCCTAAGCCAGCCCCACCCCCTGTCTCCCCCCCCTTCTCGTGGAGACACGACACAGAAGTCGCCGCCCGCCGCACTGCCCGAGGAGAAGGCGCAGCTTGCCGAGCTGGCGAAGCGCTTCGGTCTGGTTGTCCTGGACGACCCCAAGTTCTTGAACCAGGCCTTACAGGGGATACAGGCAGTGAGGAGAGAAGGTGAAGTAAGGGGAAGTGGAGGAGGAGGAGGAGGAGGAGGAGGAGGAGTTGGAGTTGCAGTTGGAGTTGAAGGAGGAGATGAGGAGGAGGAAGGAGGAGGAGGAGGAGGGAGGGAGGGAGGGAGGGAGGGAGGGAGGGAGGGAGGGAGGGAGGGAGGAGAGGAGGGAGGAGGAGGAGGAGGAGGAGGAGGAGGAGGAGGAGGAGGAGGGGGAGGCGGAAGGGGAGGATGAGGGGGAGGCGGAAGGGGAGGATGAGTTGGAGGAGGAGCAGGAGGAAGCAGAGGAGCAGGCGGAGGAGGAGGCGGAGGAGGAGGAGGAGGGGGATCAGCAGCAGCAAGAGGATGATGAGATCGATCCCGAGCTCCTCCACCCTCATCGTGATCCTGCTGCTGGCGTTGCCGCCTCTCATCTTCCCCCTGTTACCCTGCTCCTCCTCCTCCTGCTCTTTCTTTTCCTCCTCATCATCATCATCCAACTTCTGCGACTGCTGCTCACCCTCTCCACTCCACCTCCAGTACCATCCCATGTCTCCCGTTCCCCATCCCATGTTTCTCCACACACACACACACACACCACCACCACCTCATCCCACTCCCCCTCCTATCCCCATCTCCCGTCCCCATCCTACCCCCCCTTCGCTTCACCCCCCTTCCCCCCGCTGCCTCTTGATGTCCCTCCCCCTCGTCCTCAGCCCAATCTCCACGGACCGCCCCAGCTTCCCCCCCTTCACCTCTCTCTGTCTCTCCTTCTCTCCTTCAGTCTGTCTCTCTGTCTCTCTCTCTCTCTCTCTCGCTCTCTCTTTCTTTCTCCATATGTATATATAGTGGTGCGTAGAGGTGTTATGTTCCTCTCGCTATCTCTCTTTCTCTCTCTGTCTCCCTCTCTCTCTCTCTCTCTCCTTATCTCCGGATGTTCATATCGCCTTCTTTCCTTCCCTTTCTATTTCTCGCATTATATAGATATACACATCTACAGATACACACATATCTGTATGTGTATATATATGTGTATATATATATATATATATATATATCGGAGGTCGGGGGTGAGATCGCAGTGGAACGGAGACCCCCAACCAGGAAATCGTTTCGTTCGTGTCGTGCGTGCGGGCGAGGCGAAGCTGCGTGGGTGCGCAAGACGAATAAACCCGCCGCTGCTATAGCGGAGTCAAGACAAATGTTGCTCCCCCGTCCGTCCGTCCGTCCGTCCGGCGGTGGCCCTAGCGATGTCCCGCGGTGTTCCGTGGTGTACCGTGGTGTCCCGTGGTGTGCCGTGGTGTCCGCCGTTGCTAGGGCGAAGTCAAGACAAATGTTTCGCTCCCGTTCGTCCGTCCGGCGGTGGCTCGCGGTATTCCGCGGTGTCCCGTGGTCTCCCGTGGTCTCCCGTGGTCTCCCGTGGTGTCCGCCGCTGCTAGGGCGAAGTCAAGACACATGATTCTCCCCCGTCCGCCCGTCCGTCCGTCCGTTTGGCGGTGTCCCGCGGTGTCCCGCGGTGTCCCGTGGTGTCCCGTGGTGTCCCGTTGAGTGCGATCGATACTGAGATCGACACTGAGATCGATACTGAGATCGATGTGGTACCACGAGTTGTCCCGTGGCGTCCAAAAAAGTGAGATCGACAGTGAGATCGATAGTGAGATCGACTGGTGTCCTGTGGTGTCCCGTGGTGCCCCGTTGAGTAAGACGATAGTGAGATCGATAGTAAGACCGGGAGGTGTCCCGTGGTGTCCCGTGGTGTCATATGGTGTCCCGTTGAGCGAGATCGATAGTGGGATCGATAGTGAGACCGATAGTGGGATCGCCAGGTGTCCCGCGGTGTCCCGTGGTGGCCCGTGTTGGCCCGTGGTGTCCTGTGGTGTCCCGTTGAGTGAGATTGATAGTGATATCGAAACTGAGATCGATACTGAGATCGATGTGGTGCCCGGAGGTGCGCGGGCCGTGGCCGCGCGCAGGCTGCCGCTGCCCGGCCGCGCGCGGGCAGGGCCCCCCGCGCGCTGTGCATTGCGATCGGTTGTTGCGCGCGCCTTGACGACCAGGGCGCGCGGATGGCGAAGCGGCAGGCGACTCGCCCGCTTTTTTGCCGCGGAGCTCCTCTGGCCGCTGGCTGGCGGGGCACCCTGTCCCAAAGGGGCCGACACGCATTTGCGATCGACGCGCCCGTCAGTGAGGCCTCGGGCCGCGGCGCGCCCGAGGTCATGAGAAAGGCGGAGGTGGCAGAGCATGGGGCGCGCAGGACATTGCCCGGGGCGCGCGGCTGCCGCGGCAGGGTTGCCGCAGAAAGGGCCACTCCGAGGCACGTCGGCGCGCCTCGAGCAGGAACTCGGCGTGGCGCCCGCTGGCGAGGAGAGATTGTCGGGCCGAACGAAAGGGGGGGATTGGGAAAGGGGGTGTTACGAAATTTGCTGCGTGCAGCTGGTTTCGGCCTCACCGAGGGGCCCATTCCTCGATACATAGCTCACTCCGGCGCCGGGAGGCGCCGGGAAAATCATCTACGTGAGCTGATTCTCTAACCCTCCCTTTCGCCCGGCCCGAGATTGGCGCTGGCATTTTCGAGGACATCTGCTTTGGAGTCAGCGCTGAGGGCGCTCTGGAGGCCGAGGGCCCTGGCCGCAGGGCGCCCGCAGCAGGCGGGGGGCGCCGTTCGCGCGGTGCCGGCGCCGCGCGAGGAGGCGATGGCGCCGCAGGTCCTCGAGAAGGCGAGGGCGAGGGATCAGGCAGTAGGCGGGAGCACGAGGCATCCTGTTCAGCCGTGTGCGGCACCGCGCCATCAGGTGCAGCGGGCGTAGTTCCGCGCGCCGGGGGAGCAGAGGACCCCCCGCGGGGCGGGGCCCACCCAACGAGGAGATGGCCCCGGCGGTCGAGGAGGACTTCGCCGAGGCCGCGGACGCCAACGCCGCGGTGGGCGCGGGCGCCGTCGCTAGTGATCGAAGAAGCCCACGGCCCAGCCCGCGCCAGGAAGCGCGCCGGAGTTTTCGGGCGTGCTGCAGGCGCTGCCCTAGATGCGAGGACAGGCTGGGGCATCGCGAGGGAGGAGGATCAGCAGAAGGCCAAGGGGGCGCCGGCCACAGGGCAGCCCTACCTGTCGCTGTTCAGTCCGTTGCACGCGGCACCGCGCGCGTTCGAGCGAATCGATGAGCGCCCGCGGGAAAAAGCAGCGTCGCTGAGCGAGGGGCGCAAGCGTCTCGCATTCACGAGCCAGCTGGCACGCAGCCAAAGGCGCCGTGGTGGGCGCGTGTTTTCCGAGTGCCCCTGGCCCGGGGCGCCCTGGGATGAGCACGATTACGCGACCTCCTGGCGGGAGGTGGGCAAGCGCTGGGCGCGGCGCGACCGGTGCGTTTTCGATCAGACGGCCGTCAGCCCAGACGGCGCCGTCGGCCTGCGCAGAGAGCGACAGGTTCCATGGCCGACGGCGCGTCCACGGTCAACGAGTGGCCCGCGTAGCGCCATGGCGGGCGCGAGCACGTGGAGGCGGCGAAGTCGCATGCCGCGCTGCGCGAACGGCACCCTCAACGGCAGGCGGCCGCCATCCGGAGAGCGTTGAGAAAGTCGAAGAAGGCAGCTGACAGAGGAGCAGCTGATGGGCTCGAGGGCAGCGCCTACGAGCTCACAGCCGCAGGCTGGCAGCTCTAAGAGATCGCACTGCGGGTCGCCACAGGCTGAGACCCTGCTGCGGGTAGCCCCGCGCAGGCGCGCGGGCCTCGAGGGCTTGGGCGGCGGCCCATGCGGCTACGGGAGTGCGGCGCGAGGCCAGGGACCGCTGGGGAGCGAAGTTCGGTCCTCGCACCGAGGGGCGCGTAGAGAGAGCCTTGTGCATATGGCATGTTGTGCACGTCGTGCTTGTGCTGTTCTGTAGCCCCTTTGGGGCCAAGGGCCCCAAACGCATCAACATGTATCATTGGTTCTTTCTCTCTCACTCTCTCTGCCGCCTTATTTACTTATGTGGGCGTTGTGCGTTCTCTCTCTCTCTCTCTCTTTCTCTTTCTCTGCCAATTTGTATGGGCATGGACAAGAAACTGACATCTGTGACAATTATATGAGTTTCCCTATCTCTACATGTTTGTTGTTCTCTCTCGCTCTCTCTTTCTCTCTCTCTCTCTCTCCTTCTCCCCCGTCTTCTCCTGCACCACTCCAGCTGCCGTGTCGCGCCGGCTCAAGCGAGCAGGCGCGATCTGCCCATGCAGTCGGTCAGTACGGGTCAGGGTGTGACCGTGCAAGTCGTCGGCCCGCTCCCGATGCTGAAGGCGGAGCCGAGAAGACCACGAATATGTATGGAACACGTTGGTTGCTTCGATGTCGACCGGGAGGAATACGCGCAATCGAGCAAACAGGTCAGCGCGCGTTCCAGCATGGCCGATGTCAGGAGGGAACAAACACACAGACACAATTGATCCTCGGTTCCCCAGAAAAGATGGGAAGATATGGGAAGTGTGGGGGGGGAAGACGAAAACCCCCCAAATGTGGGAAACTATGGGGAATAGTTTGATATGTGTGTCTTTATGTGTGTGTGTGTGTGTGTCCTGGGGCCCCTTCACGATGTTCTCTTTCATGGGCCGCGAAGGCAGAAGGAGGGGTGCTGTGCCAGCCATTCCCTGCTGTTCCAAACGTCAGCCCATGATGCCTCCCGCGCGATCGTACGGCGCCCAGGCTTGTGCTCGGCGGCTGGTAGGGAAACCGAGCTGCTGGTCTCTACGTGCGGCTGCCGGGTTTTCAACGGTTTGGTGTCAGGAGCGCGGAGGTTGCTGCAATGTGGGAAGGGAGGTGCTGTGCAAGTCGTGTCCCGCCGCTTCGGTCTTGTTGCAGAAGCTCTTGATTGCAGCGGCGGTCTTCCTGACGCAGAGGACAATGTACGCTATCACGCGGCGCGCGAGCACGCGCGCGAGTTTTTTTTCCGGAAAGCTTGCTGTCCGCCCTTGCCGCACTGTGCTCGGCACGGGGCACCCGTCCGTGGGGAGGGCCGAGGCGGTGCGGAACGCCATCGCGGCTCATGCTGGCGCGGTCGGTCCTGCACCCCGCAGCAGACACGCACGCGAAGAGTTCTCCCCTTGTGGGCTGATCCGTTGCCGTGGGGGCCGCAGGGCAGTCCTGTTCCTCGGTCGGCGGCGAGTGTGGGTGGGCTGCCGAGGGGGCGGGCCTCCTCGGAGGGTCCGGAAGGCCTCCAGCCCTCTCGGAGGTCTTCAAAGCTCGGGGGTGGACAGAACCCCCAACGGTGACACGTCGATGAGTGAATCGTCCTTTCTCGGTTCTCGCGAGGGCGCCGAGGCCGTTCTTTTCCAGGCTCGCGCCCGCCAGGTTTGGTCCTCAGGTCGTTTTTCACTAAACCACGTTGTACTAAATGGAGGAGAAGGAGGAGGAGAAGGAAAAGGAGGAGGAGGAGGAGGAGGAGAAGGAGGAGGGGGTCTCCAAAGCCTTCTCCGAAGGGCTCAGCCTGACGAACGTGGCCCACCGCCATGGATGCGAGTTCGGTCCCATCAGGACAAGCTGGCCCACTTCCAGGGCCAGCTTACTGCGTCGAAGGCGACGGAGGCCAACCTCCGTCAACAGATCACGGAGCTGGAGCAGGACCTGGAGGACTGCGTTGCATCCCAGGCGGCTCTGGCGGAATCGGTCAAGAAGGAAGGGGAGGAGCTCCAGAGGCTCCATCGACGTGCTGCTCTTCACCCTGCTGGTGATGACTGCAAGGCGGCTGTCAACGGGCTGGTGGAGACGCTGTTCGGCCATCTGCCCGAGTCGTTCAGAGTGGCGAAGGCGGACCAGCTCCGCACCGCGGTGGACCTCCTGGGCGACCTGGCTGCTGCTGGGGCCTCTTTCCAGGAGCAGGAGGAAGCACGGCGGAAGGCACAGGCCGAGGAGGCCGCGCAGCGTGCCATGTCGGGCAGCGGCCCTTCGCCAGCCCCAGCGGCACCCTCGGACTCACGTGTGGCGGAGGATTGCAAGCAGCAACTTACTGAGTTGCTGGAGGGCGGACAGGCAGGGCAGTACGAAGGTCTCTACAGGACCATGCTCGATTTCCTGCAGAACCCTTCAGCCCTCAGCAAGAGGCCCAGGAGGGACGCGCCAGGCCCAGAGGCTGCGGCGGCGGCGGCCCCCTCGGCCGCGCCTGGCCCTGCGGCTGCTGATGTTCCTGCTGATGTTCCTATGCCTGCTGACCGCGATGTCGCTGGTGCCCCACCCCCGTCGGGGTAGCGGGGTCGGCGCTGCAGCTGCTGGACGCCGCCTGCCTGCGCCCGCCTCACACCGAGGCAGGTGGCGCTCCCTGGCGGCGCGGGCTGGGGCTACTGGCCATCGACGAGTTCGAGGCGAGAGTGTGCAGGAGGAGACTCCTGCGGTGCAGGAGGAGACTCCTGCGGCCCGTCGGCCTGAGGTATGGAAGCTGTGTACGGCCAACATCACCTCGTGGGGCATCGAGTGCGGGGACAGGGGTAAGGTCACGAGAAGGCCCTTCCTGGAGCTCTGCGACTCTGTGGATGCCGACATCTACGTTTTCCAAGAGCACCACCAGACGGAGCTACGTTTGGTGGACGTTCAGCAGGCGCTGGTCAAGGCTGGCATGGTCTCACTCCTCACTCCTGCTGCCCCCTCAGGTCGTTCAGAGGCTGGCACCACTGGAGGAGTGGGCATTGCGACTTCGAAGCTCTGGGGCCTCAAAGGACTCGATGATTTGCCTGAGGGTATCGCGGTTCCTCCTGGATGTCGATTTCGTCTGGGGCTCTGGAGTGGGTTATGTACTGGAGGTGTTTTAGTCGGATCGGTTTACCTGCACACTGGAATCGGCTGCCGCGGTCAAAATCTTTCCTTGCTGCACAGTATTGGGGAGGTCCTGAGGGCGTATGGCATGCCGTTTATTCTGGGTGGAGATTTTCAGTTTTCAGCGGAGCAACTGGTCGAGTCTGGTTGGATTGGGGATCTTCAGGCTGAGGTGGTCTCTGACGTCTCGAATTGGACCTGTCAGTTGGGTACGTCTCGGTCGTCCATCGATTACTTTGTCCTCTCCTCCTCGCTCAAGCAGTTTGTGGTGAGCTGCTCAGTTGCGACATGGTCTACCAGTACCAGACCGCACCGCCCTGTGGTGTTGAGCATGTCTGGCCACCCGCGGCAGGTGACAGTTCCCAGGCTCAAGAAGCCGTCGGCGTTCCCTCTCCACCGCCCTGTTGGATGCGACCCTCGCCCCCTGGAGTGGGACGACTTGCGTGATCAGCTCTCCCAGGGGGATTGTACCAAGGACCGTTTGGATGCTGTCACTTCTCTGTGGGTTCAAAGGGCTGAGGTGGCGCTTTCTCGCGTATTTCATGTCGATGGGGATCCACGATACCGAGGCCGAGGAGGCCCCCCCAAGGTGGTGCAAGTCCCTCTGCTCGGCCCCCCTGCCTCCACTCACCCCAGGGCTATTGGGGAGGGCCGTATGTGGCGTGTCTTGGAAAGGCGACTCCAGGACATCGTGTATCTCTGGCATGGGCCTGCGCCCACCTTGGGGGGGATCAAACAAGCGGGGATCCTCTTGCGGAAGCTCGTGAACTACCTGTCCCCCTTCACCGATTGCAAGCATTGGGCTTCTTGGCGAGTTCGGGTTCTGGCCGTCAACCCTGCCAGCGTCTCGGAGCTCCAGGAGTTGATCTGGCAGGTCCGAAAGTGGGCCCTTCAGCACGAGCATCATGCGGCCTCGGAGCGGGCCCGAGCCTGGCGTGAGTGGGTTCAAGATGCGTTATCTGGGAGCGCTCGACTGGGCCACCGGTTCACCAAAGAGGTTCCGAAGTGGGCTGCATCTGGGCTCTCTTGTTTCTCGGGGCCGTCTGGTGAGCCTCTGGGGATTGCTGCTGAAGCCGATCTTCGGGCTCAAAAGTGGCATCAGCATTGGGGTGTCGGACAAGTTTTCCCAGAGCCTGATTTTGGTTGGTGCGATGACGAGCCAGAGCTGGAGGCCCCCACCCATGAGGAGCTCTTAGCCCTTACCAGGACCTACAGCACGCACACGGCCATCGGAGTCTGTGGCCTGCATCCCCGTCACTGGTCCTTCCTCGACGACGGCGCTGTCGCGGTTTTCCTTCGGATCTGGGCCGAGATGCAGCGCCTGGTTCACATTCCGAGGTGCTGGGCTCTGCTGCTTATTGCTCTTCTACCGAAGCCGCCGCCTGAAGGGGGAGATCGTCCTATTGGGATCTTCGCGACGCCTCTTCGGTTGTGGTCCCGCTGGGCCCGATGGAAAGTTGCTGGCCCTTGGGAAAAGGCAAACCCTCGCGGGTTCTGGTATGGTGACTCAGGGGCCTCATGTGACATTTGCGTTTGGAAGCAGAGTTTCAAGGCGGAGTTGGCCAGAGACCAGGGCAGAGCGGCAGGGACAACCCTGCTCGACCTGGTCAAAGCATATGAGCACGTGCCCCACCATGTTTTAGCTGCAGCAGCCCGTCGGCACAAGTTCCGAGGTAAGACCCTTCGCTTCCTGCTCG